GCGCTTACCGCTCTCCCAGATCCTGTGACACCAAGCTAGAATGTCGCGCCCCGAGGGTTGAGAATGAATGTTGAAGATCGAAACGGTAGTTTACCGTGGAGATAATGACGGCGCTAGATTGGCTGCGATGCGGAATACAGCACACGTGATGTCTGCAAGAAACGAATCTGAATGCCCGTGATGTGCAAAAGGCAAGCTACCAGCCACAATTAATGGTGCCAGATACGAAGAACATGCAAAAACATGAGCAACGCACCTTGGGTATGATAATGCACGGAAACACCAGTTCATTGACGCAAACCTTCACTTCCTTGACAGCGGATGCGGAAGTACATGAAGAAAGTACAAGTAATAGAAGAACAATGCAGAAATATCAATCCATGTGTATCTCAATTATCTTATTTTTGTTTTCTCCGAGCAATAAAGTTATTACTACTGTGGTGTCTAGGTGGATACTTTTGCCTATGAAATTTCCAACAAAGAGTTTATAGTCCCATGACGGCATATATTCCTATCACAAGGCATAGTTCTCTTATAATGGTGGTTTGCTCTTACTAGGAGGACTAAGCCTTTTCGTGCCAATCCCAGTTATGAAACCATATCATAAAACGTACACACGGGAAGACTAGTGCCATGCTCTCCGATGCGTTGAGAATCCTATTTTTTCAGGGGGTGAAAGGTCATGAACAGCATCACGAAGTATGAGCTAGAGCGGCTGACGGAAGTCGGGAGTCAACAAAGCCTATGGAAATACGACGTCATAAAATGACTCATATTAAACTTGCTGCAGAGGCGCCACTTCATCAGGGTGTTGTGGTTGTGGACTTTAGAGACCGATCTTAAGATTGCAAATCTAAGGACCATAATAGTTTTGCTTTTCGCGTCCTGGTGACATGAAAATAAAGAAAAACTGGAGCCATGCCTTACGTCTTTTCTGTCATGAATCTATGACCTGAACTTACGGTCGTCATTTTTTCTGTTCCTTGTGTTCGCAACGCGTCCATGATGGACATTGGTTTGGGCATGGGCTTAGACCGCATTGTTTATTGTAGATCGACAGCAAACTTTTCTTCGTGCGCCAGATACCAGTTCACCTACATGGCTGTGTTGGCGATCTGCACGACTTGGCAACATTAGCCCTGGCTGTCCAGGCGCCATGTCACGGGATGAATTACATTAAAACGCGCCCGGATGGCCGTTTGGATGTCCTTCGCTTAGGTGGGGTTCAATTTGACCCCTTGAGATCTTAGGAACCGAGGAGGCTAGAGTCGCCAACTTGACATGGCGTCTTAGCCTTGTAGTGTCTATGTATCGTCGAAATGAAAATCATTCACATTCCCCTGTATTGTCATACCCTCCCGGGATACCATATGAAACAAATACCTATTGACCTTGGAATGATAAACAACTTCCCCACCGACCGTTGCCACGCGTTGTATGGTTCGCACCGAACCAGACGATATGCGAGCTGATCCAGCTCCATATACACCACAAGCCTCAATGTAAGCTCATTTATGTTAATGCTTGATGCTTCTGGGTCGTGACCCTCGTGGCAAACAAGGTTCAACAAAGTCAAACTCCGTGGCCGTTTCTCAAGTGCCCCAGAACCTAAATACGTATCCTGGAAGAAAGGTCACATGCCCATTGAATGTCAGTGCCTTGTTATTTTTTTTTATTAATTGGCATTTTTATATTAATTGGCATTTTGAAGGTCATGCTGACCTAAATCATGGAAGACTGCTTTGGTTTTTGCATTTGAATAAGCGACAAAGATTACGTAATGCAGTACGTTTCATAACAAAAACGGTGACTTGGGTTAATTTAGGTCAGTGACATATTCTGACCCTTAGAAAGTGTACTGAAGATGTGCAATGCGGTTTCTGTTATCAATTGATTTAAAACGGGCGCCGGAAGCTAAACAAGTTCCGTACATGAAGCCCTATGGTAAGAAAACAAGTCGGTTTTGACCTTGGTCTGACCTTCCTACCTGACCTTCGGTCGATTTAATTTGTTCATTCAATTTTTGTGTCGACTAAGAAAAAGGTCAGATTTTGAAATTACTTAACAATCCGCTGTTTCATCAGATTGAACGATTCCCTAGAAATTGACTTTACAGAATCCACTTTGACCTGCCGTAGGTCAGTGACCTTACATGGTACATCTAAGTTTATGATACGACACCAAACGATCCGTTATTCAGTTGTCTGCAGCTATGCAAAGTTGGAGCGCCTATGCCTCGCTTTCGGAAAGTATTCCGGACAATTTTCGGGGGGTGAAGTGATCCCCACCCGAGCGTGCGTGCGAGCGTGCAAAGTATCTCTCATCCGGCTGTGATAAGCGACGTCCTCATAAACCGAAACTATATACCACAATAATATCTATTATGACCAGCTAATGATATCCGGTCATGGAGACAGCGTTGTATCTATGGAAGCTCTTTAAATGTTATAGATGATTCCGACGGAATTCAACATGTTTTTTCAGGAACCAAAATTTTTGTATTTATTACAAGATTCGTGACACCAAGCTAGAATGTTGCGCCCCGAGCTTTGAGAATGAATGTTGAAGATCGAAACGGTAGCTTACCGTGGAGATAACGGCGGGTCTAGATTGGCTGCGACGCGGAATACATTACGTGTAATATGTGCAAGAAACGAATCTGAATATCGGGGCGGCCCGTAATGTGCAAAAAGCAAGCTGCCAGGCACAAGTGATGGTGCAAAATAGGAAAAACATCCGAAATCATGTGCAACGCACCTCGGGTATGATAGTGGATGGAAACACCAATTCATTGACACAAACCTTCACTTCCTTCACGGTGGATGCGGAAAGTGGTTGTGGTCTATAGAAGCAGACATTAATATTGCAAATCTGAGTATAAAACGGTTTTGCTTTTCGCGTCCCGGTGACATGAAAACAAAGAAAAACTGGAGCCATGCGTTACGTCTTTTCTGTCATGAATCTATAACTTGGACTTACGGTCGTCACTTTTCTGCTCCTTGTGTTCGCAACGGGCCCATGCTAGACATTGTTTTGGTCATGGACTTATACCGCATTGTTTATTGTAGATGGACAGAAAACTTTTCTTCGTGCACCATCATTCGCCAATCTCAATTCACCCACATGGCTGTGTTGGCGATCTACACGACTTGGCAAGATTAACCCTGGCTGTCCAGGCGCCATGTCAGGGGATAAATTGCTTTAACACGCGCCCGGATGGCCGTTTGGATACCCTCCGCTTGGCTTGGGGGTCAATCTGACCCCTCTGAGATCTCAGGAGCCGAGAGGGCTAGAGTCACCAACTTGACATGGTGTGTTAGCCTGAACGTTAGCTCACTTATGTCGAAGCTTAATGCTCCTGGGTCGTGACCTTCGTGGCAAATAAAGTTCAACAAAGTCAAACTCCAGGTTGGTTTCCTTCTAGAAGAGAGGTCACATACCCATTCATTGTCCGTGACCCTGTTTGGCGTTTTGAAGGTCATGCTGACCAAAATCATGGAAGACTGCTTTGATTTTTGCATTTGAATAAGCGACAAAGAATACGCAATGCAGTATGTTTCATGACAACAATGTTGACTTGGTTATTTTAGGTTAGTAACCTATTTTGACCTGTAAGAAGTGTATTGAAGACATGCAATGCGGTTTCTGTTATCAATCAATTCAAAATGAGCACCGGAAACTAAACAACTCTCGTACAGCAAGCCCTATGGTCATAAACAGGTTGGTTTTGACCTTGGTCTGACATTCCTATCTAATCCTAGGTCGATTTAATTTGCTCATTCAATTTTGGTGTCGACTAAGAATATTCTCAGAGATTTATGGTTTCGTCTAAAACTCCGTTATTGCATCAGATCAAACATTCTCTACGAATTGACTCCGCTAAATCCAATTTGACCCGCCGTAGGTCAGCGACATTACAAGCTACATTTAAAGTTATGATACGATGTCACGCAATCCGCTATTCAGTTATTTACAGCTATTCAAAATTTGGAGCGACTACGCCTCGCTCTCGGAAAGCATTCCGGAAAACCCTTCGCGGGTCCAGTGGCACCCACCCACACTTCAAGGCAACAAAGAAAATTGGGAGTTGTAGCGGCTAGAAACGAGAACATCTTAATAGTCCTCACGGGAGATGCCATGACTCCGTGGCCCATTTGAACATCGAGAGCCCATTTTCCACATAAGTAACACATTGATCACCTGGCGACACCGTAGCCGTACTGTACTTACTTGGCACAGTCCGGGTGTCGCTCCAACAACAACAGACAGCAAGTTCTCAGCCCTCGGACGGTCATAGGGCAGAGGTGTTTGGTAAGACCATGTACTGATAGCCACCTGTCACGTAGTTTCAGCGTGATACCTGCATAGGACACTTGTATTGATACAGACACTTTGCCTCCGGAAAATGAAATTTATAGAATTCCTCTGCAATCAATCCGAGGATATAACGAACCTTTCAAAGATGACGCGCTCTAAGCACCAGCAATCCATGACAGGTCGTTGCTAAAAGTCATCACAAAACAGCATGTGGTCGTTGTCTTCAGTTTATGAAGACGTCGCTTCCCACTATCAGATCAGAGATATTTCCTGGTGGAAGACATAGAATTACCTTCGTTAAAACGACACGATTCGAAAGAATGTTGTTTATTGAAGTAACGCGGGACAAAAAACGAAAAGCACTGTAACACAATCATGAATAAGTTTGAATAACCAGCCGTTCTCACCCTGCGACTAGTATGTCACAGGCCTGTATGCCGGGGCGGGATGGCTGTAGGCGGGCTTGTTGACAGGCTTATAAGCCGGAGCGGCAGCCTTGTAGGCAGGGGCGGGGTGGTACTCGGTGTACTGGGCCTCACCCTCGTAGGTCACCTCAGCGTTGTAGCCGCCGTAGTGGTCGGCGACGTACTTGACGTGCTGGATGCGGCCGTCGGGCAGAGCGACCGAGTAATATCCCTGGGTGTTGTGGCCATCGCTCTCCTCCTTCTTGGCGAAGTTGGTACCGGTGTAGCGGTCGTTGACGGCGTAGTCGTAAGCGAAAGGCTTGGCCTCCTCACTGTACTGGGGCTGCGGATGGTAAGAGGCCGGCTTGTAGCCCGGGGCAGGCCTGTACACCGGTGTATCTGGAGCTGGGGCGGCAGCTGCAACAGCCAGCACGGCGGCAACGACGAGGACCTGCAATGCCGTAGAAGATATGTTATCAATGACTCGCTCATTCCAGCATCCCTGCTATATTTCCGACCACGGTGCTTTTGTCGAAAAAAATAGCTAGCATCTGACAAGTTGCTACATCAACAATATAGCCCAAGCACATGCCTGCATGTTGTGTTTTGGTGGCCAAGTATGCAGCGAAACTGGTGCCTGCTTCTGCAGTACTTTCGCTTTTATAGGCCGGCCGCCAACCACCGACGAAGGCCACGGTCATTACCTCACTGAACAGACTGCCCCTCCAGCGCGTTATCATCTGCTGAGCTGGTGTCAACGTGGATTGGCACAGATCCGTAGTCACTCCTTCATGCGTGCTCCCCTCCTGCCATGCGATGCGAAGTACATAAGATTGCTGTCAATAGCGCTATTCCATTACTAAACAAATATGCTCTTCTTTACGTCATCGTTTGATTACTTCAAAGATCGTTTTTAAGTTATCAGAGTCTCCACCAGAGTTGCAACGTTAGAGTTGCCACTGAAGTGGAGAGTGACTCACCTGTCTGCTTCGCCGCACCGTAAAGTTGGCGTCGTTTATTTATGCGAAAAATTTGTGTTGCAGGCGTTCGTTGTGTGTGCATCAGCCCTTTTTTGCGTTGTTCTTATATTTTATTTAGAGATTCATAATCTTAAGGTACACAAATGCCTATGGAATATATCACAAAACACGGCTTGTGATCGAGGCATGTAAACGACAGCACAATCTGGCTGTTTTCCGATTGTCTTATGACGTCATATGTTCATCATAAAATCCAGAATCAGCCAGATGGTACATAACCACCTGTGACTCAATAAACGTTATGGGTCTAGGTAAGTAGGAAGGCACCCTACAAATACAAAATATCATCTGCCTTATGTAGGTACGTGCGAGGCAATACTCTTAACGCAAAGACTTCCGCTTGTCTGGTAAAAAAATGTTATCAGCCTATGTACAGAAAAAGCACACACGCCTTCTTTCACTATGTAACTCCCTTGCCGACAATTTAACTGACGTACTTAGCGCAGACAAAATTGAATACAGCAGACAACAGACGCCCGCCACTCCCCGCACCACCGGCGGCGTCACGACCAGGGGGTGCAAGGTCCTGTAAGTTCGAAGTGCACTGCAATGGCTTGTCGCTTGAGGTTGTCACGCACTTCATCAAGGTTGTCGTTGAATTCTACACTATCGGCTCACTGATTACATGCGTCTGTCACTTAGTCGGTTTCTTATTGGTATGAAGGCTCAGTTGGTAAGAGCGCCTGCAGTCCGATTCACCCACCTGTGGCAGGGTGGGTGGGAGTCGTTTTAGGCGCTCACCATTTACCCTTGACAGGTATGGCCTGCGGCAGGTGGCAGCGGTCGCGCTAAAGGTCCGTTGCCGTCAGAGGGCAGGATGAACCATGCCGAGCGTTGCGGCACGTTAAATTCTCGGCACTAAATTCTGCCGTTGCCTGGAATTACGCGATCGGATGGCACGAGTCAGGGCTCACACAGCAAGCGATACATAGCCTGGGCTCTGATGCCAGAAATCCATAAGTTCAGAGAGTTCGGATCAAATTTTATAACAGACAGCTCGATATTCGTGCCGTCTCATGGTGTGTAAGGCTCGTATATTAGTCTTCAGTTTCCATGGTATTGCATTTTAATAGCTTGCCGCCTGGCTTGCAAAGCCCATTATCATGATTGTCAAAAACTTGTACGTTACTGGCACGCTGATCATGTGCACCTTCCTAAAAATGACTTGTTGACTATCCGCACGACTGTTCTAAAAATGGCTTGGTGACTATCCCCACGACTGACGCTAGTCTCCGTTTTCCTCTCATCATTACGTCCAGGGTCTGGCGGCGCATGCGCATTAGAGTCTTAGCTCCAGTGACGTCAAGCTAACGTTAAACGAAAATAAAGCGGGAATTACCAGCCCGTTTTACCTTGTCCTTGTTCCGCCATTGTTCCGGTGTAAATATGCTATTAGTTGGTTATATTTATTTCCATCTTCTTCTCGTCTTTTCCTCCACAGGCATTTTTATTAACACCCTTTTAAAACGCTCCCTTGTCCAATTCCGTGGCTCACTATACAAACTTTTCCAAAGTAGATCATTTACACCACATTTCAACAAGGCCACAACATGCCATAGCGTTAACTAATCTACAACTCGGAATACGTTATCAACTTTTTCCTGATGACATCTTTTTCATGTTAACACATTCCAGCTGCGATTCATGCCGATTTACTCTTAAGAGAGTAGTGATAGCCGTATTGCTGGTAAAAAATCCGGAAAATAGAGAGATATGTGCGTTCATATTCGTTATTCGATTATTTTTTTGTAGACCAGCGCATGTTTCCGAAACACCAACGCATCTATCCCTCCATTTTCCTGTTTTTGTTCTACGAGGAATGAAACTACACCTGCCGTTTTCTTTAAACGCATAATGTTCCTCCCAATTTCACTTAACACCCTACGTGATTTTAATTTCCCCGTTATTGGAGAAATGGTTTACCTACGTGCCAAAAACTTGGACACCATGAAATGGTTGGGCTTCGAAGGCTTTGAGCTTAAGTTATTGGGATAAACCAATATTTCGCCTACACCACAACCGGATATTGCCGTGTAAACCCTCATTATGTGTGCGGCAACATCGTCGCATTTGAAAATGACGTATCCCAATATGCATGGGGTCGAAACGTTTAAGGACACAATTCATTGCTGTGAAAGTCAATTGAGAGCTTAATGAACTACCAAACACTTCGAAACAAAACATGCATGTACATGCATCTGTTTGAGCGCCCAGTGTCTGCTCCCGCCTGAGTTTATCTGAGAAATGCTGTCTGGGATGACATTTTAATTGCATGAACTATCACAAATTTTCATTTTCATAAGCTTACACCATACCTATGCTCCTAACTTGTGAATTCTCGTCGCATCTAACCCACGTCACAATTACTTTCGGATGAACAATGACCAGAAATGAAGCGAAATGGATGTGATATGATGAGGCAAAATGCGACTTGGGGATTAGTTGTTGGGGACTTAATTGAGAATTTAAGGGAGGTACAACTTTTTTCAACGCATCGTACCGAATTGCTGGGATGATTGCTCTGAGTTCAGCGCATTGCCAAGAAAGTTCGATACGAACCCACTGCGTCATAAGCTACACGTTCTTTGTCATCTATCATCCAGCTCACCTGTGAAAATTAAATGACGTCCATATACAACGTCATGGGTTACATTCTGGTCAACTCCCAAGAGGTGGGCGTGTACCAGGAAGTCCGTGCGAATTCGTCAGCGCAGCCGGTGACACCGTTGGAGGCGTCCGTTCACTGGGAACCTGACCGTGACCGTCTGTCAGTGGTTAACGGCCGACCTATAAAAGCGAAAGCACCAAGGGAGTAGACACCACTTGTACTGCACACCCGGCCATCAAAGCACACTATGCAGGTAGGTACTGAAATAATATCATTGATATGGTGTCCTGTTTACTGCTGGACAGTCTATTTCAAACCATATTCGCTCTGGGATTAGCGATGTGCCTTGAAATCCACGGATTTATGGTAGCAAATCTGCGCTGTTTAAATGACTGCTTGATCCGTCTAACATCCCCTGCGACATTGCAGGGTTTCGTCGTTGCCGCCGTGTTGGCCGTCGCCGCCGCCGCCCCAGCACCGGAGACGCCGGGCTACAAGCCAGCTCCGGCCCCCTACCACCCGGCACTCTCCTACAAGCCGGCCTCTTACCACCCGAAGCCCCAGTACCAGGAGGAGGCCAAGCCGTTCGCCTACGACTACGCCGTCAACGATCACTACACCGGCACCAACTTCGCCAAGAATGAGGAGAGCGATGGCCACAACACCCAGGGATATTACTCGGTGGCTCTGCCCGACGGCCGTGTCCAGCACGTCAAGTACGTCGCCGACAACTACGGTGGCTACAACGCTGAGGTCACCTACGAGGGAGAGGCACAGTACCCCGAGTACCACCCTGCTCCTGCCTACAAGGCTGCTGCCCCGGCCTACAAGCCTGTCCACAAGCCTGCTTACGGCCATTCCACCCCGGCATACAACCCTGCGGCGTACTAGTTACAGTGCTAGAACGGGTGCCTATTGGAAATATATCCGTAAGTGTGTCATGATGCTTTTCGTTTCTTTCCACGCGTTACTTCAATGAAAAATGTGTGTTAAATGTGCGGGCTGGACGGAGATACTTCTGGGCTTTTCACCGCTAAAGTATATCTCCTCCGGCTGTGATAAGCGAAGTCCTCTTAAACCGAAGCTATATACCACAATAATGTCTATAATGACCAGCTAATGATGTCCGGTCATGGATACAGCGTTGTATCTGTGGAAGCTCTTTAAATTATCTAGATGATTGCGCTGGAATTCAACATGTTATTTCAGGAAACAAAATTTCTGTATTGATTACAAGTGGTGACCTATGGGAGTATCATGCTGAAACTAACTGACAAGTGGTCTTACAGGTGGTCCTACAGGTGGGCAGGTGGTCTCAGCACATGATCTTATTGCACACCTCTGACCGGCGACCGTCTAAGGTCTGAGCAAACTTCCTCCCTGGTCGTTGGACGACGCCCAAAACGTGACAAGCGTGTATACTACGTATACAGTGCCACGAGGACATCAAGTTGTCATTTTATGGGGTTATGTGACTCTTGGTGTCTGTATAGGTCATTAAGTCATGGCGCCTACCGTGAAGACTCGCAAGATATTGTTGCTTCCACTCGCCAAGATCGCCGTTGTCTTCCTTGTCCTGAGGTATTCTAGAGCAATTTATTCCCCGACATGACGACTGAAGAGTTAAGTTAGATATGCCTTGCGAAGCTACACTAGATCAATATCAGACGTTTCGTGCGGCCAATTTAGATGTGCCACAGCGTACTAAAGTATTCTAAAGCAATTTGTCCACTGACATGACGGCTGGACAACTATGTTAGGCATGCTTT